TCAGCTTGGTAACGTGTCATCTTGTAACATTTCTGTAAATCGTAAGGGTTTTTTAAAATTTAAAATTGTATGACTAGAGCAGGAAATCATGTAGGAATCAGATTCTGATTTCAATCACAGAAGTGTAAATCTGGTGTGAATCCATTATTTCAATTACTTTACTCTTGATTTACATTCTGATGTAAGTGCAAAATCAACCCTAGCAAATAACTGACTTGTCTGCACAGACATTGGAAGCCATTCCCATTAGTATTGTCATTTCCTTATGCTATCCCTTCTTTAAAGAATAGTACTCAAAGTAAACTAGTGGATATGCTAAAAATTATTTGTGATGTTCATGTATTTGTGAAATGACATTTAAACCTGAATCTGAATCATATATACATAGAGAGAAGGGCAACCAAGGTGGTGGAAGACCTCATGGGCAAGACTTGGGATGAGTGGCTAAGGTCACTTGGTTTGCTCTGCTTGAAGAAGACAAGGCTGAGGGGTGACCTCCTGGCACCTCCTTACAACTTCCTCAAGGCAGGGAAGTGGAGGAGGAGGTGCTGATCTCCTCTCTCTGGTGACCAGGAGTAGGATATGAGGAGGTGCTGATCTCCTCTCTCTGGTGACCAGGAGTAGGATATGAGGAGGTGGAATGACACTGATTCAGAGGAAGTTCATGCTGGGCATTAGCAAAAGGTTCTTCACTGGAACAGGCTCCCCAGGGAAGTGTTGCAGCACCAAGCCTGTCAGAGCTCAAGGAGTGTCTGGACAAAGCTCTTGGTCATATGTGTTACGTGTGAGAAGCAGGGAGTTGTACTCCATGATCCACGTGAGTCCCTTCCAACTTGAGGTATTCTATGGTTCTATGATTCTATACTTAACTTTTGTGGAAGTTTTGACCCTCTCAGTTCAGTGCATACAGAGAGTAATATAATAAAAGGATTGCATAATTCCATAGCTTTAATCTTTGTCACGTCTTTGAATCTTGTATGGCTTTTCTGTGTACAGTTTATAACATGGGAACCAAAATGCCATGTGAGGCGCAAAAAGGACCTAGATGTTGGCACAGTATTCCATTCTTTGCCAATTCTCATATTTGGATTGCTTTTCTTGACAGCTGCTGGACATTACCTATTCATTACAACTTCAGAAGCACTTCTCTAAGTAGCACATTTTTTTGTGTATGTGCTACAATGAGGGTTGCCTTCTTCCCCCCCATATTCATTACTTTGCCGTTTGTTATATTAGGTTTGTGGATTAACAAGAGTTAATGCACTGAAAGAATGCTTACTTTTCTAAAAAAGTCCAGCATACTCTCTGGTCATCATTCATAATGTTATTTATATACTTACAGTAGTAAATTTTCCAACATCTTGCCTGAAGAGTATGCTAACATTTTGATTGATGCTTTCTGAGCATCTTGCGTAGATTTTTCAGAATTGATGACATTGGCCTTCTGAAAATCAGGTCTTGAAGATGCAATTAGCTATTGAAAATTATTTAGGATTTTTGAATTTGAATTTTGAAATTTGAAATACATATGTGTATGGAAAGAATATATGATAATAAAACTGAAAGAACTAAGCCGAAGTTTCCATAAGGGGCAAAGGGCCAGGCTTCTAAAGTATTTAGATAATAAACTACTTTTGTGGGTAGTGAAAATTGGCTGCCTCAATTCCTTTAAAAATGTGATCTTGAAACTATTTTTCAGACTGTCAAGACTAAGGATTTCTTGAACTGTGCTATAAACTCCAAAATCACTTACCAAGGGCAACATTTCCTGAAAGATTTAGTTTTTTCTATAGAGATATAAAAGCTGTTTGGATACTACTTAGTGACCTAGAACTCCAACCAAAACTCTAAAATCTTTAGTTAAGTTCATTTTATCATTAAATATTTGAAAATAAATATTTGAATGAAAGGTCATTGCTTTCTTAACCAATGAAAGTTCTATCATTTCCCAAGAGCCTGCTTAAAAAAGAAATATAGCAGTTGGTGAGTCTGTGAAGTTGGACTTCAGAAAACAGTGGCTTCTGTTTGACAATAATAAAATTCATGGCAAAGTCTGGGATTTTTCTTTCAAGATAAAAACAAAACTTTAGTATTTCATTAGCCACTGATATACTAGTGATCAAATGACAAAAAAATAAATTGTCTAGCCTCTTTGCACAAGCAAAAGCATCACATTTTTATATTTAAGTCTGTCAGAAGAGTATACAGGCATAAGAAAGAAAACTTGATTACAGAGCTCAATGAAAGGCATCTGTCCTTTAGCTGCTTAATTAGTCCACAGAGCTGTTGTTACTGCCCAGTCAACCATAACAGAAAAAAAGAAGAAAAAAATTCCCCAGGAATCTAGAATAAATACAGAAAAAAGCTGCTTAGATGCTATGGGAGTGAACATTTTATCTTGAAAAGGAAACAAAAAGATTGTGAGTTCTTCAAACTGCCAAACCGGAAAAGGGATCCTTGTAAAATTCATATGGCAAGGGAGAAGACTGCCCAGGCATTTTGCATTTCATCTGTGCTAGAAAAGCTGAAGAATTTAGACAGAGGCAGAAACTTAGCAGATGGACTGAAGAGAAGGAGGAAGTAGGTAAATGCAGGGGGAGGAATATCCAAGTTTAAGATGCAAATCATATGATGGGAAGAAGATAACTCATATCAAGCAATATTTTTATTTATCTTCATTTGTATCTAGTGTTTATGTAGTGTAATAAACGGACAGTGCTGTAAGTATCCTTGTAGAGAACATTCAAAAAAGTGTCAGTCTGTTTTCCATGGCTGACATATGTGATGAAAGTTCACCTATACTGTTGGGGAAGCAATGCACTTGTCTGAATAGCAGACAGTACATACATTTCTTTGACACAGGACAAGTGCTTGCAGTGGGTGAATTAACATGATTGACAGAGTTCTGTTTGTAACAGCTCAATATGAGGAAGTTTATCCATTTTTCTTCAAGAAATTTTGGTGAAAGATAATATTTCATTAAACAACTTCAAACTCTGATAAAAGCATTTCTTTGCTTAGGAGTTTGGTTTTGTTAACTGAATCAAATCCGAGTTTTTAAAAATTATTTTATCTTCTTGAATCTTATTTTAAGTCTCATGCATGGCATTCTAAGGATATCTCACGAAGTATATATAAAAATGCAGTCTTTCATACTGCTTATTTGAAGTATTTTAAATAAGTTATCTTGTGTAATACTATGGATTCACAGCTCAGCAGTCAGACATATATTCCCATGCTAAACCTTAAAATCAGAAATGCAGGCTTACCTAATTTTGTCTTTAGATTAAGCCTTGCTATTGTAGTTTTGAGACATAGTGTTTAAAAAGCAAGGTTCTGTTTTTCTGACCTGCCAAGTGTCTTTCATTATGCTTAAGAAAGTAGATGGCAAAGCTGAGTATTCTCAGTAGCACAACATATGACAGAATAATACATAACACAGTGATGTTGAAAAGTAAGCAGTAATAATCTTTAAACTGTTTCATATTTGCTATGGAAATCACATGTGTGAGAATTTGTCTTCCAGAAGAGATTCTGATGTGGTTATTTATGAAGTTTCTTTGGTATTTATAGGAGTTTGATGGCTTTTTTTAGGTCAACTTCACTGCTTCTTGATCTAACATGAGCTGAGTCTTCCCTAATCTGTGTATGCATACTCAAAACAAGTAGCCCCTTTTATAGCCTTATTAACCGGGGAATATTACACACGTCTGATTTAGACAGGAAAGTTGGTTATGCACAAATGTGGTTTTACAGAAAAAAACAATTCCAAGTGTGAAGCCCAGTAATAAAATAGAAACTTTGCAGACCTCCATAAAAAACAGAGAAATTGTGTCCTAGCATTTCCTTTCCAAACCTTCTGTTGTTCTTTCCATTGGATGTATATTTGCCCCACTGTGTTGTGTTGAATTTACTCTTTTAATAATCTCTTCTTCTCCTTCCTATTGCTCTCACGTAGTCATCTTATGGATTCTCTTTTTAATTTCAGGGGCAAAAATCTGTCAGCTGAATCTTTCAGATTCCTTAAATTGATTGAAAACCATCTCTTGAAAGATGCTACAAAACCAATATTGATTTCTCTCCATCTTCTGTTGTCTCTTCTAGTGTGATTATAGTTGCCTTCTGGTAGTCATTGATAAACTGTTATCAGTTGATACAATTAATTTAAAACTCTTAAATTTTATCTAAATTTTATCTTTTGTAAATAAAACTCCTGTTTTATTTGTGAAAGCCGATATGCAAGTTGGTTTGGGTACTCTTGGAGTGTCTGTCTGGCTCCCTTCTGGTTTCAGATGGTCTTCTGACCATCTCTGGTCAGTGCACATTATTTTCTTTTTTTTTCTGAGCTCCCTCCTATAAAGAGCTTCAGATTTCCTTTTGAGAGGGAATTTGTGCATAGTTGACACTTCAGTTTTCTATAGTATCTGAATATCAGGCCACGTCATATACAACTCTACTAAAGACAGCATAAAGACATGTTCACACTGTGTCAGGCCATAGAAGTGGCTTGCTGGCCAGATGTGGGTCTTTGTGAACGTAGCCAGCTCAGTCCAGAGAAACAGCTCTTGGCATGTGAATACATCAGGAACTGGGACTTGGTCCCTGTAGTGATCCAAGAGAGTTAACAGTAGTAGCACTGACTAGGAAGATCTTTCAGTCCTGTATTTGTAATTGGCAAAAGATACAGGCACTTATATGTCCAAATTTAGCAATTCTTAATACAGGTATATGAGATCACGTACAATACCTGTGTACAGAATGAGTCTGGTTATCCAGACTCAGCTGTGACATTTTCCACTGGTAACTTTTTAAAATGCAGTTCAAATTCTGATTTAAATACATCCATTGAATCGTAGCACAGATCTTTGCACTTATATACAACAAATTGTTTATCCAATACATAAAAATAAATTGATAATACTGCTTTGTTTTCCAGTAGAATTCTAAAAATTACCTCATGCATATGCAATGTACCTAACTTAGTTTACTGTTCCGTTAAGGTCTTGGCATTGACAACAGGACGTCTTTACCACAGAGCAATTCTTCTCCATGGGATGATGCACTTTTCAATATATCCATGCATGCAGCAATACGACATGGAAAATGGAAATTACTAACTGGATATCCAGGTAATGAAATAACTCCTTTTTGTACAGATACAGCCTATCTCTCACCTACCACAAACAGTTTATTTCTGTTTCATGTGTTTTAATTCTGCTAACTTCTTAGGTTTTTTACCACATGCAAAAATCTAGAATAAGCACTTCTGAAATCCAAACAATATACTTTTTCATTTTCAAAGATTTTTTCTACAAATTATGTTAGTGGAAAAAAATGTCATAGAATATCTCAAGTTGGAAGGGACCCAGAACGATCATAGAATCCAAGAAGAAACTAATTGATGTGAAATTAAGTGACACAGAATTTTGAATCCCAATGCTGCAGCTTTTTTTTCTGCATTATAGGTAGCCTTGGACTAGAGAGGCTCTGGTGCAGGGCTAGAGTTAAGGAGTGCAGCAACAGTCCCTGCCCAGGGGCTTGTCAAGAGACCTGGTGAATTTGGCAGTACAGCATAGTTCTGTGTCTCCACACTGCTGCTCCATGTCTGAGAACTGACCCTTGGTCTGTTTCTGTTTGTTCAGGATGTGGTCATTGGTTTCCTCCACCATCTTTGTTCAGGGAGTCGGAGATTCAGTCATCTGATCCATCGATGAAGAGACTTTGGCTGTTTGATATTGTTGACGATCCTGAAGAGAGAAATGATTTGTCTGAAAAATATCCTTATGTGGTCAAAAAACTGCTCTCACGGCTTCAGTATTACCATAAACATTCAGTGCCTGTGTTCTACCCTGATGAGGATCCCCGCTGTGATCCAGCAGCAACTGCAGCATGGGGTCCTTGGGCATAATGCAGCTTTGCATCCTGCAAAAACAAACCCTAGTAGAGTCTGTATATGGACTCTTTATATTGACTTTTAGATTTACTACTTTTGTATGTATCTTAATGATCCATGTTGTCCTTCAAATATCTTTTTGAGATAAAGCATCCAAATAGCAGAGGCTCCATCAGTCCTCATTCTTTCAGAATAGTTTGGTTAGTTTATTTTCGCAATCAAATGCAGGTGGAGATGTTGACACCATTCCCCAGTGTGTAAGGCACGTAGATTCAATGAATTCACGTTATTCTCTTTTTTCATAGGGCATATTCAACTAGAAAGCTAACTGTTCTCCGTTGATATCCACATATAACATTTTAGTTTATAGTAGCCATTACAAGATGTGGTTGCCACAATAACAAGGCACTGGACTTGGGATAGAGGGGAATTTCTGCCCTACATTCTTCTGTGTCCTTCAGCATTCAGCACTCATATTACACGAGGAGAGATGTTGGCTTACCCACAAAAGCAGAAACTTTTGTTAATGGTATTTTTAATACAGATATTGCTCTTTTTTATGTTCATATCTAGTTTCATGGAAAACAATGAAACATCAGGAAAAAAACATCAGCTAAGTTGTAAAAGCTCAAGTAAATAATGTGTTTGAGTCTCCTTGGCTAAAGTTAGAAAAGATTAAAAAATGTGTAATTTTAATTTCAGAGGTAAGCAGAACTTTTATGTATTCTCTTTTCTGTGTGTCCTACAATCTGCATTTTAATATCTTGCTGCTATTCTAGTTCATATAATTAATTTACTAGGAAGAGACTGTTGCACATCACTGTCGTGTATAGGTATTCAATTCACCCTCTGTTTCCTCTCATTATATTTTAAAATCCAAAGATTCATTATTTTCTCAGCTACAGTATAAATCATTGTTTATTTTCTAATTTTCTACGGGTGGTCTTTCATAAAATATTTTAATTGAACTGGGTTAGGAAAAAAAACATCTGGCTGACACGTTTAGGTTGGCATCTCCAAAGAGTTGTATACTGTTCAATTGTTTCAAATTGGGAAATAGAGAATTCTTTATATATTTTGTGGTTTCTTAACATTCAAAAATGAAAGTATTTTGACCTCTCTAAATAAAACTTCATTTCATCCCTTTCCAAGTTAAGATTAATTTTTAATCTAGCAAACATTTGGGCATTTCGAATTCAAAAGTCTTAATTTTTATGCTTTAGAAATTATTTAAACTTCAGAAAAGTAACTAAGTTTAGGAAGAATGCTCACACTGGCTACTCATTTTGCATTGCTTATTTACAAAAAAGATGCATCCAGTCAAGGAGAGGATGATCTTATAAGCAAAACAGAAGATCTGGATCTGTTCTTGAGTGAAAGACTATATTCAGCCTGAAAAGAATTTTTCCAACATACCTAAAGTTGATAAACAGGTCTTGGGTACAGATCTGAGTTTAATCCTCTGCAGAAGAACCTGGAGTTTAAACAGTTGTAGTCTGTTTGGATTTGAAGCTCCACTACTAGTCCCTGTCAGCCTCCATGAACTTGCCTCTCATCTTACTTTCTGACAAAGAGATTTAATGGTAGTAAGGCTACTTGGGATATTCCCAAAGCTTTTCCATGCTTGTATGGTAGAGTCTGGCACACAAGGACAAATGGTCCATATGTGTAGCCATGTTTGTAATCCTAGGGCCGGGGACACCTGAATGAGAAATAGGCAAGTGAATCACAACACATGTAAGTCAAAGTCTAAATGAAAGATTACTTGGCAAGTAAAAAATATATAATGTCAAGCATTACCAGGAGATTCAGGATCTAACCACAGGTTTCTGTCCTGAGCCTAGGAACACCAAACCATTTCCAAAGACGTAGCAGTTATGAGTGGAGAATTTCTTTTCCTGCCTGTCTGCTCCTTTGGCAGCCCACCGCAGGCCCCCCTCCAGCTGGACCCTGAGGCTATGTCTCTGTAACATTAACTGTAGCTCTGGCATGATGGATGGGTCAGAGGACCTTTCTACAGCCAGCCCTTCCCTTGGCAGCCCCTTTGCAGCCCCGCCCTAAGTGGACCCATAGGCTTCATGTCTCTCTAACTATAAATAAGCCGAAGTTTGTAATGAGAAAACAGTGCTTTTGCTAAGAGAAAGGGAAAAACCTGCCAACTCAAAGTTTGAGGAGGTTAAGCAATTTTTTTGCCAGCAGGTTTCCAACTGGATGTTTTAATTCCTTCAGTTTATTTTCTTTGTCAGTTGCAGGCAGTGCACTCAGTTTTCTTTCAAGCTGCATTGTAATATGGGAAGATTCTGGTTAAATATACGGTGTAAAGAGTTCCCTGGGGTCCCAAACTGCTTTTTCTGATTCCAGTGCTCTCACATGTCTTCTTCCAGTGCCTTATGATTCACATATGAGCTCATCTACATCAAGCAGAGCTGCTGCAAGGAACAGTAAAAACTTTTTTTGGCATAAAGCAGTTAGAGTGAGTCAGCCATGCAACTATGGACAGGATCAGTGATGGCCCGTGTGATAATTGCATATTGTAGTTAAGCAGAGGCGAAGAGGATGATGCATTAGTTCTTGTTATGTTAGTTGTTCCCTCCTGAGACTGTTATTTTTTGTGGGTGGAGTGGAGAGATATTGGAAGGATTGGTGATATATCTGCTGCCAAGTTTCAAAAAGGACTACCAGCTGCCATCATCAAAGCAGCTACCGGATGTTGATTCCCTAATCCTGGCTAAACTCAATAGCAATAAAGGCAGTTATATTTCGTCTGCAGGACTATAGTTAGAAAAAGTACAGTCAGAATCTCTAGATTCGGATCTGAGGAATGCAGTGTTTATTTGGACAAATCTTCAAAAGCCACAACAAGGTACTGCACCAAAGCCACAGTGCTAGGCTGCCAGATTTTGGCATTCAGAACAGTGACAAAAATAAAAGAGCTCTGTCTTGTTTTTCTGCCATGCATTCTTGCTGTTTCTTCAAGCAAGCAAGGAGTCAGAACACAGTGAATACATGTACAAACAAAGTAAGCTGTGTTCAGTGTTCAGCAATGCTTATTGAGGAGTTTTGAGCATAGAGCCCATGCTAATGAATAGAAAACTTTGATCAGGACATCTGTGTCCGGCCTAAATCATTTCATTGGATCTGCAATTTTGCCAAGAGCATCACTCAGTGGCCCTATTAACCAGGGCTGTTGGAGCCTTTCTTTATTGTATACATTCTCCAAGCACACTCATGAAGGAGGAGTCATCAATTTTTATTGGATAGAAGGCTCCAAAATGGCTTATTCAAGGACATCTGAGCCCTTAAGTTTACCCTTCACGTTTATCCCGCTTCACTGGAAAAAAAGTTTAATGAGCCTGTGCAGGCGCTGAGAAAATAAATGTTGAGAGCATTGAGTCAGAGGCTGGACTTCACCTCTAGTAAACATAGTTTCAGATCCAGTTTAACTATGCTTAACTCACAGAAGCAAATAGTTTGGGAGTTTTTTATCTATAGAATTCAGTCATGGCAATTCTGTGATTCCAACCTGTTTTCTCAATGTTGCTCATCAGTGTGCAGTTATCCAGGGGAATAATCAGTTTCTGGAGAATGATAATTTTTTCCTCACTTCTCTGTGTATGAGGAGTAAGAGGAGTTTTTTAAAAGGCTGTGAACATTATAATAACTGCCAGCCCAAGAACCATGAATGCACTGCTTCCCTGTAGGTGGCTGCTATAGGTGTACTGAATTTTCACTTTTAATTCTTGTGCCTTTTGCTTTGTTTTCAAATATTCTGTTTTACAAATCATACTTGATTGATAAAGCACTGTCTGAAATAATCCCAAAGGGGCTATTAGTCTACTCTGGTCATACCCGAGTTACAGCAGTGACATGTTGTAGAAACAAAGTTGTTGTCCTGCCTTTTCAGTTCTGTTTTTACATTGCTCTGTAATAAAGAGAGCATGGTCATGGTACATTAAAGAACTGGGTAAGAGCAACATATGCATTGCCATTACATTGCTACTAGCTAAAGCTCCAAAACTAATATAGTGGAGAAACCTAGCTAAGAATTTACTGACAGTTTTCTTTTGCCATAAGCTTAGCATTAGAAAAAAAATCCAGAACAGTTGAAATGGCATAGCCTTTGGCTGAGTGAAAAATAGACACATTTATAATATCAAAGAAGACTTAGGAAAGTATCCCATCAGGATTTTGAAAAATGTAGGAGGGAATAGAGTAAAACAATTGCATTTCTGTTTATATTTGCCCTAGAAAGTAGCCCACTTGGAAGAAATATTTAAGAATGTGAATGATTGAGAGATTGTCTCTTATAGGCAGCAGGTATAAGATACAAGTCTGAAATTCCTTTGAGTTATAGTTGCTGGTTAACAGCAGGATTTTTGGTAATTATTTCTACCCACAATCCAAAGGAATTTTAATGTGTATTGTTTTATGTGGAGAAGTTTTTAGAATTCACCTTTTTCTGGTTTTACTTTGTAATAAAGAAGAGGCCATGGTATAATGAAAAAATGCCTAAAAGCAAATTTTTCTTTAATTGCTATTCCAACAATAAAAAATGGAGAGCATTTTCTTACAAAAATTAGATTTTCTATGTAAATGTTTGTTCTATTAACAGCATTAAATACAATGGCAAGAATCCATCTTTACAGCAGTAAACACTGAGTGTAGTTTTAAGAGGCAAGTGTAATTATTAACCCAAAGATATAATTCAGGATTTTTGTACTATGCAGTGATTTAAACATTTTATATTTAACTTATGACATAAAATATGTACGATATATATGAACCTAATCCAAAACCCAAATCCAAATAAAGCAAACTCCTACATTGTCTAAGTTTGTTGTACTTCTAAATTTTTTATTTTGGGTCTTTGGTTCTAGATATGAATATGAAATTACTCAGTATCTATCCTTTCAGAAGCAGTAAGGATGCTGAAATCCTGCTATCACAACATTGCTAAACAACCATTCTTTTCAGCTCCTACAGTACTATAGGCATCATAACCTGCTAGCAAAAGCAGACTTTTTAATAGCAGCCATTATTCATCCTTTTACTTAATGTGATTTATTGACTTTTGTTTGATGACATGATCAAATAAAGTAATGGCCTCTTTTAAAATGTAAATGCTGATTTTATCTATAGTTTATTTCAATTATACTTTTCATAAACGTACTGCTGATGTGCGTTATAATACAAGAAAATGTTTTAGGAACACTTGGTTTTATGCTAAACATTATTTGGGTAATAAGTGACTATAATGCACTGGTAACCGCCAAAATTCTAAATGTAGCAGAGATCTGGCATTGCTTAGCTCCATAATGCACACAGGACTGCAGTGTCCTTAAAGCATTGTTTCTGTCCACTGCTGTCTTAGGAGTTGATTACTCTCTGTACTATCAGAGTAAAAGTCAGAGTAATTCTGCTCAAAGCCATAGCTTTAAGTGAGTGCACTGTTTATGGAAGATACTTGCCCACAGGCTACACTCAGAAGATTCTGAATTAATTAATGATTAATTAACATCTGTATGTCCTGGTTGCCCATATGACAAGATGGTGAGGACAGGATACTGTGAAAAACACGATATTGTGAGAGAGGGTTGTGCTTGGAAAAACTTTGTTTAGGATGTTGATGACTCAGCCTGAGTGCAGTCATCATTCCAGCTTGTTTTATGAACTGGCCCAGTCCAGTTATAGAGCAGAATCAGATATTCCTGTTTATCATATAAGCTGGAGTCATGTTTTAGTTTAGAGAAAAGTCTTATTCTTGTTTACTGATAAAGTAATGTTTGATGTGGAATCATGGATGATGTGATGACAATGTTATTCTGCGTCACTGTTGGAAGAGGGGAAATTTATTCTTTCACTTAGTTTTTTAATCTATGCATATTGCAAACATTCTATTCTTGTTTAATGTTATTTTAGTTTTTTTCATTATGTGTTTATCTTTAAAATAAATTTTAGCTAGATAGGCTACAGAGAAAGTTAGCAAACATACATTTAGTCATGGAACTTCAGTTTCAGAACAGATCTTAAAGCTATCATTAGTAAAAGTTTCTGCGTTGAAAATTTTATAATCTCCATTTTCTCATCCTTCTGTTCAAAAACCTGTAAAGTTTTTTTAATAAAGAATAAATTATAGCTAGAAAGAAAACATACATCTAAGATAGAATTTTCTTTTGTTAGAGTCATAATAAGGCCCATAGAGACAGCCCAATAAACCTTGTAGATTTCTGTAGCTTAAACTGGCCCCATATTTAGCTTTACATTACATTACATTACTTAGAAATCAAGTTCCAAAAACCCGTAACAGTGGTTACTGTTCTTTCCCTTAGGGTCTGAACAAGGAAATCCAATGTTTTTTGGTCAGCAGTAGGAATTCCACTTTGTAATCTGACGCTCTTCGTTCCTCTTCTCTCAAAGGCAGTAAACCAAAAATTAAAGTCAGAATGGATTTTCAAATCATGTAGCATTTGTAAATCCTCACGCACCTTTAATGATTTGTTGGCATGTGCAAACTGAAAGCGTCATGACCTGGCCTTTCTCCTGTCAGTTCCTGCTCTCATCACATTGTCTAGTTATGCCTGTTTCACAGAGAATTCACGCTTTGCATTTCTCTGATTTCAGTTGTATTGTTCCAAATTCATGAAGAATAAAAGGAGTCATAGAAGAGCCAGGATCTTCTTATTAGGAGGCTGATACAGCTCTGTTGTAGCCAACTGAGCTACCCTAGTTCATACCAATAAGTATTATGCAGTTATTGGGAAGATATTAGTCCTTTTTTTCTATTTTTTTATGTCTGGTATCTAGCAAGCATGTGGCAGTGGCATGCTTCTGCATATTTATCTAGTGGTAACAATTGGATCTTTTCATGCTCAGAGTGAGTAACTCAACTCTAGTCAGTCTGTAATTTCTTTCTGACAGACTCATTATTTCTCTGCCAATTATATGGTTATGGTTATGGGCATGGGCAGCTATACAATTTAAAAAAAGACAATTTTTCTGTAAGCACAGTGTGTCTGTTCAAGCACAGTTCTGTCCTAACAGCGTACAAGCCTGCTCATCCTATGACCATGGCTGCATCTGTTGTAGAACATGGCTGTAACATACAGGATAAAGCAAGCATCTTGCCATACAGTTTTACTTTCTGCACTGTTCAAGTTCACACTGATGTCAGCATGCCCTCTGACTTCATTGTAAGATCTAAGTGCTATTTGAAAAAAAAAAATCAGATTATTTGAAAAAAAAATCAGATTATTTGCAAGCATGATACAAGCTGCAAACTCAGTTGGAACTGTATAAACTTCTGTAAGACTTGTTTGTAGTAGCGACAAATGTAGTAAAGAGAGCAGTTAGGAAATCTGTTTGCTTTTCTCTGTGTTTTCAATATATGTGCTGCACTTTATCTGTGCATATTCCTTAGTCACTTCTACGACTCGTCTGTTAGAGGTGCTTTTGAAGAGAGATGTATTTTTGGAACATTTATTAAAACTGTGGTATTTACTAGACTTGCATAAGAAGTTCTGACAAGTCCACTCCTGCAGCTAGTGCAAAAATCTTGGGGAAATCATAGTGAGGTTTTGGTATATTCTACACCTTGAGTTTGAGTACATCCCTATAGTTGATACCTCTTGTGCATGACATTTAGCTTGGATCCGTTATCCAAACAGTGATAGAAACTATTACTGTAAATCAGAAAAAAGCCTATACATTTTTGTATGTATACTGTAAAGTTGCAACAGTAAGTTTCAGCACAGTGGTTTTATTCTAATAGGAAATGATGTGGATATTGTTCATTGTCACTCTTACCAGCAAATTTTATGCATCTGAAGTTTATGCATTGCCTACAAAGCAGAGAGAAGGCATTGGCATTACTACACCCTGTTCTTCATAGGTCCATCATCTTAGACTTGCTGCACCACCATCTGAAATCAGCTGCTGGGAGGAAGGAACACTGGCAACAGCATTCAGGAAGTGCAGTCTCAGGCTCTGCACTTTGTTAATGGTGTTATGTTAATGGTGATTAATGTTCCTTTCTATTTTGCTAGCTTCTTCCTTGTGGGAAGAGATCATAGAAAGCTGAAATACTTCAAATAACTATTGATATTAATGATTTTCTTAAAAAAAAGAAGTTATTTCTGAATCTGTTAATGAGAAATTAAGAGTAAAACTCTCATCAGAGAATGTGTCATTAAACAAACACTGATGAAAAGAACTGCACCTAACTGTTGTAGTTGCTCCTTTTTCCCACACTGTTGTTTTATTTTTTTAAACTTCAAGTCTCCTCTTGATTGATGCACAGATATTTTAACAATGTCTTTGTTGTGTACTGCAATCAGACAAGTACTAATCCCCTTGAGGAATCTGGCAGGACTGTGGGAATCTTCCAGCCATAATTGTATCTCCATCGTAAATGTGATGATATTGGCAACTTCAGCTGAGTTGACAGAATGTGCTGTTGTTGAGGGTGAATTATATCAACTTTCTCTACTGACCTGCAAGTCTAAGGGTCACTCATTTATGCATTCTTCAGTGTCTCTGGTAAGGGTTTTTTTGGTGCTGTCATGGAAGACGTTAGAGACATAAATGCCTGCTGTATATAAACAAAGAAGGACTGTAATCAGAAAAACTGAATGGAAAAAAAACAACTGGAAATCCTAATTACGTAGTTAAAATAAAAGTACTACCATAGTGAATTACAATCAGTGAAACTGAATTTTAATGGTGTACTAATGGGGTAAAAAAGACATCTCTCATTTTTATTAGTTTGAGCAAAATAAAGGAATGTAAAGATGCTGAATGTAGATCCACTTACTGTACAACTATGTTACCCCAAGATTTTGTTTATTTATTTGGTTATTTAGAAGTTACTTTAGAACACATTAATTTTTTTTTTTCCTTGACAGGTTCTAAGTGCAGAGTAATTCTATTGAAAACTAATTTCTGGGGCAAAGGATGACACAGATGATTCACTACGTGCCTAAATGTGTAACCTCCTCATATTTATTCAGGTTTTGGATTTCTGCCTCAAGCCACGATTATCACTTTTTCAAATACTGGCACAGACCATCCATTTCTCTGGTAATAAATATGGTTTCCCTAAGGATATGAGAAGAAACTTGATTTTTATTCTTGTTAGTTACTCCACTGATCTTCTTTCTTTGTATTTACATGAGAAAAATGTAAGAAACCCATCATTCAGATTATCTAATAGACCCATGACTTGCAAAATATTTTTTCACTGGATTTTATTTTTTATGACTAAAATATGAAGAAAAAAAAATGATTGCTATTTAGTTGTTGCTTTTTGTTTTTTAAAGAGGGAGGGATTAATTTACTCTGATTCGAATAGCACTAATGGAGCTTCAGGACCATTATAATAACTTAATTAACTTGAAAGCTGGGAGATAAAAAGGCACTTCTTATTTGTTTTACTGCATATGCTCTATCTGGGCTTCCCGAAGTCCACTTGGCCTACAGTCAGTTTCAGAAAGACCATGATTTGGCTCTGAGTCAGATGTTTTGATTGAAATCAGATAGCCAAAACCACAAGAATCTTAACTTGTTAGAAATGGTGACTGTTCCAAAAATGTGAATCCAGAAGATAGGCATACACACAAGAAGCAGAGGATGTACATGAGAGCTCCTGATGTACCCTTAGCTTAGGTTTTTATTAATTTTGCTGCTGTTATATCATTGGGAAACCATGTGCACTTTGCCATGCAAGACTGATTTTCTTTGTTGGCTGTTCCAAAGCCAGAATATATATTCTGTATATTAACTGTGATTTCAGTCCTAATTTAAACTGTCTAGCAATTGCCCAGAAACTGCTTGATAGAGCCATTTCATAATCACCTTGCACCTCCCCTTTATTCCCACAGCACTTGAAATGACTACTTGTCCTAACTGCATCCTGAACGTACTGGGAGTTCCCAGGCAGACCATGATGCATCACTCCATTGGAGCAAAGAGGGCTAAATTATAGTTAAAGTTATCTTCTCTGAGATTTTCTCCAAGTGCTGTCTCAATAAATTGTAACCAAGTCTGACTTGCAGGAAAGATCTCAACTGAATTAATTTTGATGTGAGAATAGGACTTGTGCTTACTTGTCATTCAGTGACTTTGCAAATGTGCCTACCACCTTCTCGTGTAACCTTCCCTTGACTACCAAACAAGAGAAATCTAGGAAAAAACTCTTAAACTGAAACTGGTCATTTTGTTAAAACTGACTCACCTAGCAAAACCCCATCTTTTAAAGATTTCTGTGGGACAGTTAACCAGGTTTATTACTGTGTGGTGGCCAATACAGTATTATTTTGTGAACTCCTGCTAATGTACTGTATAATTATTGAATTTGGCTATGATGCCAAGCTCTAAGGTGAGGGTAATAGCTAAGTAAGGTCCTATACATTGAAATTACAATGTTTATTATTTTGGTTTTGGAAGTTGGAATTTTCTTTTTCACTCTTTATGGATGTTCTGGTACTGCAGGAAAACCATGCAGTAATGACTATGAAACATACTCTTTATCAGTATATGCCCTATTTTTCTCTGTAACTAGTTTCTTCCTTTCTCTTTCCTCTTATCTTTAGTAACCCTATAGTTATTATTAACAATGTTCACTTTTAATCAGTTGTGGTATTTTAATTCTCATTTTTATTTCTTTTTTCCTTATTCTCATGACTGCAGTGTCCTTGCAATATCAGTATCATCTCCAGCTAAATGCCAATACTTTGTTTACAAGCTATTATTTTGATTCCATCATATCTGTTCAAATAAGAAAAGCATGAATTGCTAGAAAATCACTGTAGCGTTTAATTAATATTATCTCCAGCTAATAATTTGCATTTTTGTTGTAATGTAGATCATTCATCACATCTTAAATAGCTAATTTAATTCTTTCAGAGATGAAAATCATAAAAATGCAATTTAAAGTTTCCTACTTACAACATAGTTAAAGATTAGGCATAACTTAGCACATAAGAGAATCTTTGAGAAATAAAAGGCTGTTGTGCTTCCAAGTGTGTGATCCAAGACATCTATCTTTAACAAGGATAGATACTATGGAAGCAAGTTTTATGCTGCAGTCAAAAAGGACTGTAAGGGGAATAAGATTATTTGGTTATTTCACAGAGACAAGGCAATTGACTCATCAGAAGACAGGGCTGTCACTGAGCATACACAAATACAAACCCATGGCATAGAAGGGAAATTTACATACCTCATAGCAAGATGGTGCTAGAGTACTTAGAGGGTAGATAATTTTAAGGGCCGTGAAAAAAATTATCATTTTCCATGAGTGCTATTAACATAAATTAAGGGATTTGAATTCTGAGTTTTGATAATGCAGAAAGTAGAATCCTGAGTTTGAGATCACAGCAAATCTCTCACACTGACATACACAGATATGCACCTGATGGGTAAATAAGCAATAAGGTGAAAGGAAGTGTTACAAAAATGCCAGTCTTTAAAGAAAAGCTAAGGGTAATGAGAAATATGTATTTTAGCATAGGGCTAGATCCCTAAAGAATTTTAGCATCCTATACTCCAGAATCCTCAATCTGTAGACCAGCAGTAGCTCCTATTTAGGTCTCATCTATTTATATTGAGGCTGATTTTCACATTCTTTTACAGTTGATCTAGAAATGCCATATCAAACAATTGATATGGTTTAATTTGGGTTCAGTTCAGGTTCCTGTGATTAATTGAAGAAAGATAACGTTCCCTATAGGGAAATACCATAAATACTAATTACGGGGTCCTTCAGGAAGGTTTACTCGGTCATTAAATTTATTTTTGAAATTTGTTTTAGGCAGCTTTCTGGTCAACACAACTCATTATTACTAAAATCTAGTAAGCTCTATTACATGGAATTTAAAACCCAAACACTCAATGAATGATTTTTGGCTTAGTGATGCATACAAGCTATTATTAAATGGAAATACAAAGTTAGAGTATTACTTTACAGAAATGTAATTTTTTTAATGAAAAGGCACAATATTTTCAAAGAAGCTTCACGCACCTTCTTCATGCAGCTTCATGCTCTTTCCGAAGACACTTATGTTTGTTATGTAAAAAATAAGGGCTTATTGCATTAGTTTCGTTTTACATTATTATCCAAAAAAGAATTTAATTCTTTGTCATTAAGAGCTTCAGGTACTGAAACGATTGTAAATGTGCTGACACAAGTTTGGGGGTTTTTAACAGACTCTTGTTCAAGCACTCTAAACAAGTTCTCAATAGAGTAAATTTTAATTAGGGTAAAATTAGCAAGTCTGTTTGCTAGCTTTAAGCCAGTTGCTCAGTCTTCACAGTTTGTTAAGCATCTGTTCCCTGAAAGTATCTAATGTTTAGGCTGACTTAAGTTCAGTATTGTATGCTGCAATGAACATTGAAATCTCATTTCAAAAGTGCTAGAGTTTTTAAAGTATATGGTTAAAGCTCTTAGTACTTCTTACATTAATTTTTTTCTTCTTAAATTCAGAACACCTGGCCGTGTCCTGTAAGTTAACATTATAACCATTGCCTGGTTACAAGGAAGTTTCTATATTTTACTGATAGTCTGTAATTGTGCAAGTGATTGACAGAAAAAAAGCCTCCTGGTATGAGTGTGCAGGCGCTATCAAAAAATACACTCTCCGATCTTAAAAACATTTTCTCAATTTACAAATCATCTTCTTTAGTAAGATCCAGGTTCCCCCAAGTAAGATAGACACTGTATGTGATCCTCCATATTAAAAGATCGTCCCGAAATTGATGTCAGTATGTACTGTGCATATCTTTTCTTCTTTGGAAGAGACATGCAGTTGCGTGCCCCCAGGCTGCTTAGGACATCTGAATCTCTTTAATCTGACACATTTCAGATTAGTGCTCTTGTGAGACGATAAACATGAACATGATGTAGCCCCACAGGATGTGTTAATGCTGTTGCAGGCTTTTTTGAGAAGGAATATGTCTGATCTGTAATGTTCTAATTTTAAATTCACATTTGATGGGTGTTGCAGGTATTCTACAGCTAAAACTGTGTCAAGCTGGTTTCGTTTTGTGTTGGTGGTTTGGTTTTGGTTTGTTTGGTGGTTTTGTGTTTTGTTTGTTTGTTTTGTTTTGTTTTTTGTTTGTTTGTTTCTTTTA